TATGTGTGTGTGTGTGTATATATATAAAATAGAAGGCAACTATCATATGAACATCACCTGGTAGACTACACAGGAATCAGATTGACTGCATCTGTGAAAGGGGGCAGTGTAGAACCTCACTATTAGTAATCAAAACAAGGCCTGGGACTGGGTGTGGAACAGATCATCAGCCACTCAGATGTAAGTTAAAATTAATGGTGTAAAATCTATGAAAACCAAAATCATTGAGTGAATTTACAAACCATCTCAAGAATTAATGGCAAGCTGTGAAATTATATCAAGAACATCATCCACAAAGAAAGAAAAAGGTCATCAGAAATACAGGAAATAAAGAAAAGACCAAAATGGATGTCAGAAGAGACTGTGAAATTTGCACTGAGACAAAAAGAAGCCAAAATAAGATGAAACAATGCTGATATGAGAGAGCTGAACAGGACATTTCAAAGAGCTGTTCAAGAAGACAAAGCAAAATATCATATTGAAAAGTGCAAGGAGCTGGAGTTAGAAAACCAGAGGGGAAGAACACACTCAGCATCTCTCAAGCTGAAAGGAGTGAACAACAAATTCAAGCCTCGAGCTGCAATACTGAAGGATTCATTGGGCAAAATCTTGAACAATGCAGAAAGCATCAGAAGGGGATGGAAGCTAGAGAGTCACTGGACCAGAAAGAATCAGTCTACACTGAAGCACAGTAGGAAGTAACATATGCTCAAGAACCAATAGTACTGAAAGAAAGTCAAGCTGTACTGAAAGCACTGTCAGAAAATAAAGCCTCAGGAATAGGCGGAGTATCAATTGAGGTGTTCCAACAAAATGAGGATACGTAATGAACACTGCATTGACACAGATGAAGGAAAAGAACTGTTTAAAAGGAATGCATGATGAGGAATTATTTGTATGACAACAGTTCAGAATAAGAGATGCATTGCAAAGTGGACTAAGGGATGGATGTGGGGGATGGAGAATTGTGTAACAATGAATGAATATAAAATGAATATGAATGGAAAAAAGTGAACTAGGGGGTTATGGAGAAAATATGCTAACAATGAATGAATTAAAATCCAACCTTTCTCTACAGTTTTGTCAAAATCAAAATTAAAACAATTAAAAAACAAAACAAAACAGCAGATGTGGCCCTAGACATGCTCACTAACTTACACCAAAAAATTCAGAAGACAGCTACCCGGACAACTGAGCAGAGAAGATTTATACTTTTACCCTTAAAAAAAAAAGGTGATCTACCAAAAAGTACAGAAATTATTGTGCAATATTGTTACTATCACATGCAGGTGAAATCCTTGCTGAAGGTTACTAAAAAGCAGCTGGAATAGTATATCAACAGAGTACATCTAAAAATTTAGGCCGGACAGGGAAGAGGTCATGGTACCAGAAATATCATTGCTGATAGCACAAAGATCCTGATAAAAAGCAGAAAATATTAGTTAGATGTTTATGTTTTACTGATGATACAAAAGCATTTGACTGGGTGAGTCATAACAAATTACAGTAGACTGAGAAAAATGGGAATTCATGAACAATTGTGCTGATGTGAAATCTCTAGATGGACTAAAAAGCAGTTGTATAAACAAAACAAGGAAACACTGCTTGGTTTAAAATCAGGAAAGGTGTGCATCTGGCTGCACTTCAATTCCAAAGGCACACAGTTCAAATTCTCCAGTTGCTCTGCAGGAAAATGATGGGCAATCACCTCCTGTGTGATTTACTGCCTGTGAAAATCTGCTGGAGGGTCAGCTACAGGTTGGTTGTCAAAGATACACAACAACAATAACAATTCAATCTTCATGCTGAGTGAATAATTTGGTAAATTAGATTATATATGAAGAAAAAGTAGCATTGGAATTGGAGGAAGAGTCATCAGCAACCTGTATAATGAAGATGACATAATAGCTCTGCAGATGACTTAAAACATTTACTGAAGATCAAAGCCTATACCTTCAACAGGGGTCATAAATCAACATCAAGTAACCACTGGACCAAGAGACAACATCATCACAGATGGCTTAAAGATTGTAGTTGTTAATTATTTAATTTTATTTGGATCCAAAATCAACACCCATTATACTAGCAGTCAGGGAACCAAAAGCATTTTGCATTGCAGAAATCACTGTCAGGGACCTCTTAAAAGTGCTGAAGAGCAAAGGTGTCAGTTTAAAAGAAGTTTTCAATTGCTTCCTCTGCAAATAAAAGTTGGACAATGAATAAGACTAACAGAAAGACCAAAGCCAATTAACTCTTGAGTTTTAGTGTTGGAGAAGAGTAGTAAATATCCGTTATTGTTGTTGTTGTTGTTGTTGTTGTTGTTGTTGTTCCGTGCCATCGAGTCGCTTGCAATTCACAGTGATCTTATGTACAACAGCCCTAAACTCTGCTCCGTTCTGTGCCAATCGCACTGTCTCTGATA